CATTCTCTCGTTTCCCCTACAGTGATTTATAAGGGCCTCAGCATTGATCTTGCCCTGGGCAAATGGTGCGCTGACAGCATTTTTTCCAGGCAGGGCTTGAGACTGGGTGTGTGGAGAGACTGCTTCTGCTTCGTGCTGCCTCGGGTAAGGTAACCACTCCATGCCCGTTGTGAGGAGGTGGCTCTGGACTCGCAGGGACTTGAGGTCCAGGCACTGTCCCCCAGCTTCACCTACAGGCGCAGGGCAGCCACCTCCCCCACCACATCTCACACTGGAGGCCGCCTGGGTACCATCTCACCACTCAGGGCATAAGGGGGCCACACCCTGGGGGCGCCACTGCGGCCTGCGGCCCTGCCGGTGAAATGAGTGTCGAGCTATGAATGCAAAGACTCCAGAAGGCGAGCTGCCCCGGGATGATGGGGAACTGTGAGTGGGGCCTCTGTCCCCGGTGCTGGCGGAAGTCACCACAAACCTCATCAGTCCTGTCTGGTAAAGGGGGAGGGGTGGCGCCTCTCCAGGACTGCTGGATGCCCAGTGAAGGCCCAGGGAAGAATGTGTGAGTGCAATTCAGTGTGGTGGAATGCAGCTCTGTCGTTAGGGAGTGATTCCGCACTTAACCTCTTTCCCTAGGGTACCTCAGGGATTCGAGTGGCGCAGCCCCCTGTGGCCTCTCAGAGCACTCCACGGCTCGCCTTAAGTCCCACGTGGCAGGGACCCAGGTGGATATGTGCTCTGACCTCCCCAGGGGAGTAGGGTGGTTTGCCAGGAGTTCACTCATGAGGCCTAAGGGTGGCTGTTTCTGGCAGACCAGTAAGGATACGTGGGAACCAACGAGCGAGGACAGCTGGCACGCTCAGCAGGGGCCCGGCCGCCAGGGGGCACCCCACCTCTGCTTCCCCCTAGACTAGGAGCCCTCTGCCTCATTGGCAGTGTAGTTTGTCACCAACAGGAGTGGCCGCACTACCGCGTGTCTGTGGCTGACTTAGTTGCCTCTCAGCATCCATTTCCCAGCTTCCAGCGAAATCCTGACTGTCCTCTGGAGTCCCCAACTCCTCTGCTCGGTCTCTGGACTTAGGACCCTGGGGACAAGACAGCAAGCATATTTTAAGACAAAGCTAGTGCCACAGCCTAGGGATGGCAGAGCGATAACCCTGCAACCTCCCCAGTCACCCCAGCAGCTAAAGATCCTACTGTGAAGCCCGAGAGGCAACAGTTCTGACTAGCTTTTCCCAGCCCATGCGCAAAAACAATCCCGGAAATAGTTCCACAGAGATTCACAGCAGGGAGATGCCACCACACAGGAGGGGTGGGTGACCCGCAGCCCTGCTCCTCTCTAGGGCTTAGCCTGAGCACATTTTCCAAACGTGTGGCCCAGACCCAGAGAGGTAAACAGGCAGCTATCCCCCCCCCCCATAGGCAATTTTCTCTTGGTTTTGTTTTGGAGGGTCCTGCTGTGACCTGCCAGCTGGGAGCACTCAGAGGGAGGAGGGAGAGGACCCGAGGGGTACACCTGTTGTGGAGAGGACCAACTAGGTCAGCATGTGTGTGGCCGTGTTTCCAGCCAGCAGCCCTGCTCCAACCCCCCCGGCAGATCAACTTCTCAAATCATATGTAGCCCCTTCTCTCCCAAGCTTTAGAATCTTTTCCCAGCCCTGGCCCCCTCTGGACTCCCTGCTCTACCGTCTTTCTGGTCCAGGGGGAAGATGCCTGCTCTGAGCTCCTAGGGTCTTCAGAGCAGAGCGGAGGTTACCACTTCCTGGAGGGACTAGCTGGGACTCCCCTAGGGCAGCAGCTGCCTCCACAGCCTTAGCTGGACAAGGCTGTTGTCCCCAGGAGGGAACACGTGGAAGGGCCCAGGACTTGCTCCTCAACAGCCAACCCAGAGACCTGGCTAAAGAGATTGACTGCCCTCGGTATCTCACTTTACAGAGGGACTGCTGGGAGGCTCCAAGGCCCTTTGGTGGTTAGTGCCATGTCCTTATTTTGGCATAAACGTGACCATAGGCAAGCCTGGATACCCCCTGGGGGGCTGGTTCCACACTGTGATATAGGTGACAGTCCACCTCATAGACCGTACAAAGAACTCCAGAGAGGAACCCATTAACCTTCCACCCAAGTACTGTTGTGGGAGCTGCTGTCACCTCGAGTACCTTGTTCCCTCAGTGGCTCCTGGGTCATCAGGTTCTGCCACAGAGACCCACAGAGACACATTCATTTTCCTCAGGCTATGCCAGCAGCCTAAGGACACCTAGTAAGAGTCCATGTCACTCAGTGTAGAGCTTCCAGGGTGGGGCATGGATTAAGTGGGGCCTGCCCTCCAGATGTGACCACAACTATAGCCTGGATGCCAGCTTTGCCCGACATTGGCTGGGCTGCCCTGGGCAAGTTACTACCCATCTCCCGGGTTCAGGAAATGGAGCCCTGGGTTTGGGATTCTGGGTTCACCTTATGAAACAGCTCACTGAACTGCTCCCACCCCCACGCTGCCCAAGAAAGATGCAGGGCAGATGCTGGCAGAGAGAATGACTTCCGGAACACCATTCTGCAGAGATGGAGAACCACACTCTGTCCCCTGGACAGCTCTGAAAGAGCTAGGCATCCCTGGGTTAAGATCACCAGGAACAGGGACCATACAGCCATCAGCAGTGTCCTCTAGAGACGGTACAGGCTTTCCTAAAGCAATGAGGAAGATTCCAGGCCCTTAATATGGTAGGGCTGTGCCTGCCTATCTGTCCCTCTGTCTCTGTAACTGAGGGAGGGGTGGGGGGATGGGCACACTGCACTCTCCCCCAGGATGACCTCCAGGTGATGGTGTCGCATTTCCAGCTTCTACCTCATCCATCCAGGCTCCTCCCGGTCCAGAAGGGAAGGCATCCAGGTCATACAGAGGCCAGGGCAGAGTTGAGAGGGATCCAGACTGCCTGGGGACTATCATTGTCCCAACACAGGCCACTAGCCAGCCACACATCTGCAGAGACAGGATGGAAGGGTCAGGCTGGGAAGTCTCTCTGCAGGAGGCCTGCGGGAGGGAGTGTGTGTCTCCCCGCCACCGGCTTCCTTATCTCCCTGATTCTCCTGCTTTCCAGAGGTCTCAGAGAGAGTTAGAGACAGGTTACCCCTGGGGAAGGGGCCTGTCACCACCCGCTTCCGCTCATCGAGAAGCCCGTGGTGGGAGGCCGGGCTGTTTGTTGGCATGCTCTTTGTGCCAGGTGTTCAACATGTGCGCTCCTTTCAACCCTGCAAACCCTCCTCGGTGTTATTTCTGTTCTCACAAAGATGGGGAAACTGAGCCGTATCGAGCTTAGGTGCTCTCTCGCTCTCTCTCTCTCTCTCTCTCTCTCTCTCTCTCTGTCTCTCTCTCTGTCTCTCTCTCTGTCTCTCTCTGTCTCTCTCTCTGTCTCTCTCTCTGTCTCTCTCTGTCTCTCTCTCTCTCTCTGTCTCTCTCTCTGTCTCTCTCTCTCTCTGTGTCTCTGTCTCTGTCTCTGTCTCTGTCTCTCTCTCTCTCTCTCTCGCTCCCTCCCTCCTCCTCCCCCAGCCAAGGCCCAGCCTGGAGAACAGGAGGAGAGTGGGGGAAGACACAGGCCTCACACATGTTCCTCCAGCGTGGAGGGCCAGCTGGGACACACATTCCCCCGAGAACAAGGCTCCAGGAAGGAGCAAGGCAGAAACAGCCTCGCCCCTCGTATCTCAACGCCGGCAAGGACCCAAGACACAGATATCCAGTCCCCAAGAGCAATCTCGCTCACCTGTGTGCAGAGGGAAAGCCAGGGACTGGAGCTAGGGCCCAGAGCCCTGGAAGAGCGTGAGGTGGAAGGGGGAACCCGTGTTCCTGACAGAAAAGCCGGGAACTGGCTGAGCCCTGGGGCCAGAGCTCAGAGAGGCCGGGGCCCTAAGGAGATTCAGCCACACCGGCCAGGTGAGAGGGTGAAGGACATCTCAAACAAGAAGGGCTGACACTGTTTGGCCCGCACCAGGGAGCCGTGGACGGGTTCAGCAAGGATGCTGAGTGCAAGGATGCTCGGAGCAAACCAGTTAGCGGGGGCCAGAGCACTGGGACTCTAAGAGTTGGAGTGGCCTGGAGAGGACAGTGGCTACGGGGGGGGGGGGGGGAGACCAGGCTCACTAGATGAGGAGATAAAACAAGGGCAGCGCTAGGACTAGGACTACAGCGGAGTTAGGAGCCTGACAGGAGTGTGCCTTGGTTAGTGAGGCCTTCGCGGGTGGAGGTTCGGGTTCAGGGACCGAGCAGAACGCCCGGGCAGCTGAGACTGAAGCTGGGCTAGTGGCCCAGACACCCCGGGAGGACAGAAGGACCCGGGAGGCAGGGAAGTCACAGAGAGGTCCAGCGAGTGAGTACGGAACTGGGGTCAGCACCGAAAGATGCTTCCGAAGTTAGCCCGACAGGAGAGGGAGCGGGAGGGCGCTCCAGATTGCCGTGGGGGCTCTGTGGCCGGGGATGCTGGTCTCCGGGGGCAGAGGGGCGCGGGCCGCGCGCAGCCGGCTCTCATTAGCGCCGGCCGCGGGCTAATCAATCCCAGGCGGGGGCTCCCGGGCCGAGTCCGCATCATGGAAACTGGCCGCGCGCCCGGCGGAGCGAACGGGGCCGTCGTCGGGGCCGGGCCGGGCCGGGCCGGGCCGGCGCCTCTCCGTCGAGGGCGCAGGCGGAGGCGGGTCGCGGGGTCCGGGGCGGGGCTCAGTCACCCCGCGCCCTTTCTGGAGGCGGCAGGGGGGTCGCAGGGGTCGGGGCCGGGCCTGCGGGGCCCCGGACGGGGGTCGATCCCGGCTAGGCCCGGGCTAGGCCGCTTCTCTCCGGGACCCCGGGGTCATCTCTAGCCGAGAGCAGACGCCCCGATCCCTGCTGCCCGCGGCCTCCCGGTGCCCGGGCCACGGCGAGCGGTCTCCTGGAGCGGCTCCAGCGTGCAGCCCCGACCCCGGGGCGGTGCTGCTCCGGCCGGGACGCGGCCCACGGAGGCCTCGGGCGGAGGAGGCTGGAAAAAGAGGCCAGGCGGCGGGAAAGGGGGATGATTCATCCCCGGGAGCCCGAATCGGAAACACCGCAATCTGGGAACAGCCTTGCCTGGGCCGACGAGAGATCCGGGAGGACAGTCCGTCCGGCGAGGTCCTGAGTCCGGCACTGGCAGTCCCCTGCCTCCAGCCCCAGTCCTAGCCCGGCCGTGGGGGGAGGGGGAGGCCTCTTCTGGAGGAGTGGAAAAGAATCCTGGACAAAGTCGGTCGCTGCCTCCTCTGCTCTGACTGGCTGGTCTCGGCCAGAGCGGGCTTCCCAGAGTCTAGCTCAAGTCTCTCCTGCTGCAGCTCCAGTGCTGGCTGAGGAAGTCTGCAAGGAGGGGGCGAGCAAGGAGAAGCCGGAGTCAGAGACACCCCCGGCGGTCCTCGCTGCGGTACGTAAAGCGCAGTAGGGGGGAGGTGGGGCGAGCGCGCGAGACCTGCAGCCCCGGGGCGGTCCGAGCGCCCCCTCCTCTGGTTACATCGGGGCGGCCACGTGCGGGGGTGGGGTCGAGCCCGGGAGGTACTTACCCGGGCCGCGGTTTCGGGGAGAAGGGGGTTGCCCGCGCGGGCAGCTGGAACGCGCGCAGGCTGCAGGAGCCCCGCAGCCCCGGCTGCACCCGAGCCCCGCAGCCCCCTCCCTGCGCTCTGCCCGCGGGCCCGGCCAACGCTGGCTCCCAGCTCCGCTGCGGAAAACCCGAGCGGGGGCGGCTCCCTGCCTTGCGGCCGCGGGAAAATCCGGGGGTGGCCGCCAGGGATCTCCAAGCGGCCGACCGAGGCGGCCCCGCGCGTCGCTCCTCCGGAGGCCGGCCCGTCGGGTCAGTGTCTGCCTCACTGCTTGTCCCTGCAGAACGCCCGGACGAGCGCGGGATGACAGCCGGGAGCCCAGGAGACGGTGGCGCGCGCAGGAGCCCCGAGGGCCGCGTCTCGCGTCTGGGCCGGCGCCTGGGTCGGCGCCGGCGACCGCGCTCTCCGCCAGAGCCGCTGCGGGTGCGGGCACGGCTGCGGCTGCGCTCGCCGTCGGGGGCGTTCGCGGCGCTGGGCGCGCTCGTGGTGCTGGTGGGCATGGGCATCGCCGTGGCCGGCTACTGGCCCGGCCGCGCCTCCCACGCCCACGCCCCGAGGACCGGCCGCGCGCACGGGCCTCACGAGCGCCTGCGGCTGCTGGGGCCGGTGATCATGGGCGTCGGCCTGTTCGTGTTCATCTGTGCCAACACGCTGCTCTACGAGAACCGGGACCTGGAAACACGGCGGCTCCGCCGGGGCGTGCTGAGAGCGCAGGCGCTGCGGCCACCCGACGGCCCCAGCTGGGATGCACTGCTGCCCAGTCCAGCGCATGGGTCCCCGGGCACTGTCGCGGAGCATGAGACTTGGGACCTGGCCCCGAGACGGGGTCCCTCGCCCGTCCCGTCGGTGCGCAGCCTGCGGTCCGAGCCTGCCAATCCTCGCTCGGGGTTGCCTGCGCTGCTCCACAGCTACCCATTGAAGGGTCCAGGACTACCACCACCCTGGGGTCCCCGGACTCAGACTGGCCACGTGATCATCACGGTGCAGCCCTCTGCTTCCTGCATTGAGCACTCCAAGTCTCTGGACCTGGGCCTGGGGGAGCTTCTCCTAGGGGCCCCAGCAGCTCGGGACTGTGCCCATCGAAGCTGGCCACGGCTGGACAGACTCAGCCTGGGGGGCTATGCCAAATTAGGAGGGGACTTGGGGGCCCGAGTCTGAGGTGCAAGGGATAACCTGCTATATGAGGCTACCAGCGTGGACCATGGGACCAGGACACCAAAAGTCCAGTGTCCACTAGCTGCTTCTGTCACCTCTGAAGCTAGGATGGATGCTGTGGTGCCAGCAGCCACTCAGGCTCCTGACCTGCATGCATAGAGCAGTGCCAGCTGCATCAGGCGAGCCTCGGGGGCATGTGTCAATGTGGACACCAGCATGATTCAGCCTCAGGAATTTCTTCAGGCATGTGGCCTTAGCCGGGACAGGTACCTGAGGGGCTGCAGGCTAGGCCAAGAGCATCGGGAGATGCACCGGTACCTTGGCAACAGTGGTAGGTTGGGATGCCTCAGTCTGGAGCAGACTCCCTCCAAGGTGGCAGTGGGGATGGAGGTGGGACCTGCTGGGGAAGGCGGGCAATGGCGTGGGATGGAGACCCTCTGCAGCTGTGTAGAGCGACAGCACCTCTGACTGCTACCACTTCGGGCCCATTCTTCCTCGAGCCATGTGGGCTGGCCCAGCCTGGCTAACTACTGCCAGTGCCCTGCCCCTGGGGTCACTGCTCCCAGAGACAGGTCCGGCTCACTTTTGTCTGGCCCGTGTGGCAAGTCTCCCTCAGTTGGCAAAGAGCGTCTGCCAGTTCTCGGCAGTTCCTTCCACAGCCCGGAGCTGCACTCTGGCCAGTGTGGACAGCTGACTGTACACAGCGAGGGGCTCCCCTTTTCGTCTCCCCTGCGCAGGGCAGGTTTACTTACTTTCCACGCTTTTGTTAGAAGAGAAATTTTAAAGTGGATCAATCCTCACAGTCAGGTGTTTTTTTTTGTTTGTTTATTGAAAAATGCCATACAAGAAGCAAGACCAAACACTTAGCTAAAACACTACAGTCACATCTGTCACTATGAAAGGCGCAGACAGCAGGCCTGATGACTGCCCATCTCACCTAAGCATTTTCAGTTGGGCTCTGCCGCCATAGTTCCTATTTTGTCAAATGTAAACAACTACTTGATATGATTCATAATTTTTAAAAAATTTACAAAGCTCCTTCATTTTTGTCATCAAAATAATAGATCTGTGAGAGATTTGTAAAAACAACCAGCCTGGGGTTTCTATCTCCCATGAGCATTGGGGGTGCTGGCTAGGCCGGAACTCCAGCTCCATTTCTTCAGGTGGGCCAGCTGCTCAGCGTCCCCCAGAATACACTGCTGGCCTGGGGGAGAGTCCCCGGAGTTAGCCTCCTTGGGCCCTCAGCTTAGGAATATAGGGCTTGCTTTGTGGGTGGGTGGCAGAGATCTCATTGGTTTGAAGGAAATCTACTTCTGAAGTAAAAATAAAACTGCAGTTGGGTTTGTTACTGTGGTGTGCCTGAGTCACTTTGGGAAAATTCCTACCAAGTCCCGACCCTGGAGATGGGACTCTCCTCCCCTCTCACTACTCCTACCTGGACAGAGTTTGTTCTTCATACCAACTGCAGAAAGAAAGAAGGAAAAAGCCAAACAATTATCATATCCCAAGATCTGTTGCCAGAGCCAGCAAAGACGGGGATGAGGCCTGGGGGACATCAGAAGTCTGGTCCAATTTCCAGACAAAGGCAGCAGAGAGGAGCAGAGGTCAGGTTCCCAGGTCTGAGGTCCTGATGGGGATAGCACCCAGCCCAGTGCTGAATGGGTAGGTGACCCCTCTCCTCCTGGGTCTCAGAGCTGGAGCCCATGATAACTCCACTCCCTAGCACAGCCAACTCTGGCTCAGTCCCACCAGACAGCAGTCACTTCAGGCCCTGTACCAGTCTGCCAGTTTGCTTCTGGGAGTAGGACCCAAGCCTGTCTGTCTGTCCTCCCCCTAGAGCAAGCTGCCATTGGTAACAGTCTCATGGGAGCTAAAAGAAAAATGCACACTCAAAACCAGTTCAAAGTCGCTCAGTTTGTGTAAAGAGCCTTCAGCCAGGAGACCAGAGACTACTGTGGCTTTCCTTATGCTTTCTCACTGCCCGTCAGCCCTCAGCCACAGCTGCCAGAAATCCGCTGTCAACCCTCATGAAGTTCATTCCTGGCCTAGAATTAGGAATCTAAGAAGCTTCCAGGCAAATCTGTAGGAAGTAAACTGGAGGATTACAGAGGCCCTGTTTGGGGAAAAAGAAAGTCCAAATTCTCACCACCAACTGGGGACATCAGGCTCCCTTTTCGAAACCAATATTTAAAAAAAAAAAAGGAAACTAAATCCAAAACCCACAATAAAATAAAGCCCCCCAAACCTGACAGTAGCAGAGTTGGTTCACGCAAACCCCAACCAGCAGGGCTGACCACCAGGAGGTTAAATACCCTTGCTCCTGGAGGACATCCTCAGACAGCTGCCTGTGAGGGAAGAAAGGTCACAGGACACATCCCTTCCCGTGTCAGGTAGGAGGAGGTCCAGCAGAAGCACTCTTAGTGGGGCCTGACTGAGGTAAAGTCGACACTCCCCTGGGTGAAGTGCACTCCTGAACAACAAGACCTGATTTTAAAAACCTCATTAAGTTTCCTTCCCCAAACTACAGCTAAAAATGTTCCACTGGCCCTTTTAGCCAAAAGTGCCTAATTTTCCGTGAGTCCTGGTCTCCTGAGATGAGAGCTGGGGAACACTTGATGAAGCTGCTGTTTCTGATGAGGGACAGACGGTCAGCTGGGGAGGTGAAGGCCACAGGTGCATCCAAATGTTCACAGTATTAGCTCTACCTGAAGCAACGGAAGTCTCTGACCAAAAGTTCCAAACAGAAAGGTGTGTGTGTGTGTGTGTGTGTGTGTGTGTGTGTGTGTGAGAGAGAGAGAGAGAGAGAGAGAGAGAGAGAGAGAGAGAGAGAGAGAGAGAGAGAGAGAGAGAGAGAGAGAGAGAGAGAGAGAGAGACACCATGTGCTCAGCTGAGGTCTCTGCCTCACCAAACGCCCTGCAAAGGGATGTCATGTTTCTGGGGTCTCTGACCCGGGTATCTGCCCTAACTGACATTCACTGGTGCATGAAGTTTCTGTGTCGTTCAGGAGGTATGGAGCTGGAGGAGCAGGAGGCCCCACAAGCTGGCTCTGACCTATAACGGCTGACAGGTTCTCTGCCGGTTCTGGAGAAGTCTGTGGATCCTGTCAGGGTCTAAGTTGGAAATGAGTGAGGAAAGGTTTTACCAATCACCCCATAAAAAAACCCAAATGTCTTAAAAGCAGTTCATAGACCAAAAAGTTGACAATTTCTGTATCACAATATAGAAAACATTTGTGGCATCTAGAAGAGTCTGGATATAAATTCCAAATAGAAAATGAAGTTGGTTTTCTGTGGTGTGGAACAGTCTTGAAAGTCTGAAGTTTGCTGCAGGCTGGCTTCTTTACGATAGGCTGGTTTCTCTGGGATGGGGAAGGGTGGGGATGGGGCAGGACAGTCCCTAGAGGGAAAAAAAAAGCACGAGTTTGAACCCTCACAAAGGAGCAAGCTTCCAGTACCACCATGAGCAGGTCTCCTGGCTGTGACTTGGTGAGCTGCACTGGCTGTTCTACCCAGCGTTCACTGCAGGCATTCATCTTTCTGGATCCCTGCATGCCCAGCTATCTAGCCTGGCCCCGAGCTTCCCAACACCCCATGTGTTCTTCCAGAAGCCTGGCCTTGTCTTCTCAGCTCTGCTCTCTAGCCCTCCCCAGTTCTAGCCCACAGGTCCTGGAGTTGCCAAGGGCAATAAACAGGGCAGGGGATAGTAGGGAACTCCAGAGATGGGTGACAGTTCAGTTCAGACCCAAGTTTGAAGTACCCCCCACCCAGGGACGCTGGCACACTAAGGCAGAAGGACACATACACCTGGCCGCGCTGGCACACTAAGGCAGAAGGACACATACACCTGGCCGTTCTGGTTGGAGCCACACAGTTAACAATAGCCTCTCCCTTTACTTTACTGAGTTCCAGTGTGAACATCTCTTGGGATCAAGCGCTCTCCAAGTGTCCAGACTTCCTGAGACCTCTCTCTGGCTGAGATGACAGCATCCCCCATCCCAGCAGGAACACCCTTACCTGAGCTCACTCCTCAGAGATCTCCGTCTCCTGGTGGACGACCACCTTGGTCACTGACATGTCTGGGTGCTGTTCCTTGGCCTCCTTGATGGCTTGTACAAGGACCTGTGAAAGACAGAGATAAAACTGGTCCGGCAAAGAGCAACCCAGCTGGTGAAGGAAGCCTGGGGCTTTTCTGTGATGACGGAGGAATCAGGGCAGCACACAGCACAGCCCAAGTGGATCAAGGCCTTGCCCTGTCCTGCCTTGTCCTGGCCTGTCCTGAAGAGGGAGGCTGCTGGACTCAGCACACCAAGGCAGGGAGGGGTAGAGGTTTTCTTCAGAGAAACGGGCAACCTCAGGTGAGAAGATTCGTTCAGGCGGTGACTCTAGAGCACAAACCGTGTTCAGTATGGGAACAGGGAGGCCAGGCCAGGAAGGCGAGGGAGCACACAGCTTTCAAAAAGGAAGAGGTGTCTTTGGCAAGGAGGCTGCAGGCCACACAGACACAGCTTGGGGGCAACCTGGCTTTTGAGTATGATTCTCTCCTTTGAGTCTGAGTCCCTGGAGGAGTTCAGGTTACTGTGACACCTGGCAGCCTGTTAGGGCTGTTTGCCTGATATATCCTAAGGGCAGTCTCCAGCCAGTCAAAGGGGGAGACTGCTTCTGACATCTAGATTTCCACAAAACCTGCTGTCTCTGCTGGCCCCTGCTCCTCTTCCATGGCCCAGCTGCTCCTCTCTGGGCCTAGCTCAAGCTTTCTCCCTGGAGTCTCCATGTCCCTCTAAGAAAGCCCGAACTACACTTTTCTCAACAGTCCTTCCTAAGGTGCCCCACACCTCCTCCCTCCCAGAGCCTTGTTTCCTGGAAGAAACAAGGGTCCTTGGAGCTCTCCCTGAGCCATCGAGAATCACTACATCAACTCTGATCCACGAGGAGCTTCATTGTATAGGATAAAGGCACAGCTCAGTGTTGCTGAAGGGTGTGCACAACAGAGACAGAGTTAGGGTTCAGGCCTGTTCTACTCCAAATACCTTCCACCCACAGCCTTTGTTGTCAGAAAGCACAGGTAACACACAGCAGGGCTCAAACCATAAGTTGTGGGCTACAGCAGGAAGGACCCACTGAGCCCAGCACCCAGGCCACACAGGCCCCTACTTGGGCTTCTGGCCTTGCCACTGGGACCCTGAGCACAATGTCCACAGCACTGAGTCCTAGCCCTGCAGCCCCTCTTCCTGTTCTTTTTTTTTTTTTTTTTTTTTTTGGTTTTTCGAGACAGGGTTTCTCTGTATTGTTTCAGAGACTGTCCTGGAACTAGCTCTGTAGACCAGGCTGGCCTCGAACTCACAGAGATCCGCCTGCCTCTGCCTCCCAAGTGCTGGGATTAAAGGCGTGCGCCACCAACGCCGCTCCTCTTCCTGTTCTTGAGCACTCCAGAAGAGGCAGCACTGCTCCCGACAGGCCTGCCCCCTCCACCAGGCTCTCCCACCCCCCTCTCCCCCACTCTCCTCAACAGCCTCACTGTACTAGCAGCACCCAGCAAAGAATTGGGAACATTAATTCTGACCTTATTATTTGCTAATTGCTTGTAGCTCACAATTAGCACCTAATTAACATAAAAACATAGAATTTTAGCACACAGAAGGGACCAAGAATTATCTGGATCAACCCACTCTATTTTAGAGAGGAAAACATCAGATGTAAAGTGATCTGCCCAAGGTCACACAGCAAGCTGGTGACAGATCCATGACACTGAATGAGTTCCACATCCTGTCTCAGCCTCCTGAGTGCAGGAACTACAAGTGTGGCCACCATGCCCATGCACTGCCTGTCTATCCAACAGCCCCGCCCGAGAGCTAAAGCAGCTGTCTGAAGATGCTGCTGTGTCCATCAAGGTCCCTGCTGCATTCCCACCTGATCGTGGTCAATATCTGCATCTCCTGTGATCACAATTCTTTTCTCAATCCGGGTCTCAGAAATTCCACCTTTTACAGTCTGTAACCAAAGGAAGAGGCCATGTGAAAACCACGCACAGCGGAAAGATGGTTCTAAACGCTCCCTTCAAATGTTTTGCTTGTTTGTTTGCTATCGTGAGAATGTAGCCCAGGCTGGGCACCGTGGTGCTGGCACTACCCAGGAGAGCCTTGTACCATATCTCAGCATGGGAGGACCTGCCAACAGGAGCCTCGCTCCCCGACCGTGGGCACTAGACTCTTTAGTACACGGAACAAAAGGACACAGTTCCTTATTCACTTTCTTTTTTCTTCTTCCCAAATACTACAGAAACCCAGAAGGAAGAGAGGTGTCCCCTTTTTGTTTTTCTAAATTCTTACTTGATTATTTTCAGCTTCAAAC